TCTTGGTCCATGCCGTAAAAAAACTATATGTACATTGTAACGTTGATTTTAAATAATCACGTTATAAAAACCGAATTGAGTTCTCGCCGAAACTTATTCAGTTAATTCTTGATTAATTATTATAAATTAAATGCGGTAGCCAGAATCAAACTCAACATTTTACTTTATTATTATGTTGTTGAATTGTATAGAATCAATATAATACATAAATGTTGAGTTGTATAAAAATCATATTGTTTATCTCAAGAGAATTCTACACGTTTTGGTTGATTTTAAAACACAATGTTATTTATTGTTATTTAATTATCAACCGACCGAAAATGTGTCAACAATTAATATTAATCGGCACAAATCTACTGTCAACTGGCAACCACCTGTGCATGACCTATATACGGGACCGAAGCAGGATGTCAATTAACCTAATTTCGACAGTTCGTGCCTGGCTGCCGATTGAATTATAACGTTTCACCGCAGTTGTCATTTCCATTAGTAAAGTAATAAAAGATGGATTTCCGTGCTCGTTTGGACCGGATCAAAGGTTAGTGTCCAGTATTCATCTTCCTCGTTATCTTGGGAATATCACCGGTGCACGGTGTGACCGAGAAATACTATCGAGACGGAAGACCTCATGGCAAGCCGATAGGACGCCGCCATTTTCGGTCAACCGACGCAAATTACCGGCGTGTGGAAGTTCTCAGTTCTCTTCACAAAGTTCATCAAAGTTTAAAATAAAAATTAGAGTGATTTAAAAGAAAATAATATGCTTGTGTGTTCTTATAATTTTCTTTACTCATTTGTTTTATTTGTGTGTTAAATTCATCTTGTCTCTCTTCTCTGTGTGCGGTACTCGCGCAATATTATTTCAATACAAAACGTAACTTCGTGTAAATAAAATATTGAGCTCAGTAAGAGCTAGTCCGGAAAAGTTCTTTGTTTTGTTACAGCATCGTGACCCGGGTAGTTCACCTACCTGGCGCCGGAGAAGTTCCCTAAAACGGGTCATCGATGGTGTATTATAAGTTCGAAGTGTGGAATTTATAATTCGGCAATTTGGAATCCGTAAATTGCCATTTTTGTAACGATTGGCGGGTAAGATCCGCAAGTAAACGTAAAGATCGTTACAACATGCATCAAATTTCAGAAATATGAATTTGACCTCTTTTACTAATTTCACATTATTTTAAGTGTTTTTCAAATCTGTTTTATTTGGAATTTAATAGTATAAGGTAATAATTAAAGATTTTGTTATTTGCATCAAGTACATACAATTTTCATGGTGGTGGATTAAAAATAGTATTTTAGATAATATATGGGTGATTCTTCTGAAAGTGACACTTTTGAAATTCGATTTTTCAACTTATTTTTTTTTAAATTATATGGTTTTTTTTATTGAACTTACTTTATTTCATATTCAAGAGTAAGAATTGAAGTTGCGCAAAATTAATTGTTGAAAATATTAAAGTTTTTTCTCTTTAAAGAAGATTAACTTTGTTGCTCCAATTGATCAATTTTATTTGTTTCGTGATTTTTTTTTATTAAATATACACACTAATGTCAGTTTTTGAAAATACAAAATGGCGGATCCAATATGGCGGACGAAAAAATAAAAATTCAACCGGATTTGCTTAAAACTTGTTACTCGGGGGTTTTTGGGGTCGCTGATTACGAATTTGATGTCAGTTTTTGAAAATACAAAATGGCGGATCTAATATGGCGGACAAAGATTAAGAAATTAATTAAATTTAGTTGAAAATGGTTACTTGTGGCCTTTTGAGATTGCTAGTTATGAATATAGGCACAAAACATTAACGTTCTAGGAACGTTTTAAATACATATGCACTGAAAAAAAATGCTATAGAATCTAAAGATATGCTATTGCGGGCTGCCGAAAGCAGATATTGTTGAATGAATAGCATATGTTCAAAATCTTAAAGCATTGCGTTTGAATCAAATACTTCATTATCAATTTTGAAAGTAATACTGTCCGCCATATTGGATCCGCCATTTTGAATTTCCAAAAACTGACATCAAATTCATAATCAGCGACCCCAAAAACCCCCGAGTAGCAAGTTTTAAGCAAATCCGGTTGAATTTTTATTTTTTCGTCCGCCATATCAGATCCGCCATTTTGTATTTTCAAAAACTGACATCAAATTCGTAATCAGCGACCCCAAAAACCCCCGAGTAACAAGTTTTAAGCAAATCCGGTTGAATTTTTATTTTTTCGTCCGCCATATTGGATCCGCCATTTTGGATTTTCCAAAACGGACATCAAATTCGTAATCAGCGACCCCAAAAACAGCGGGATACGAAGTTCTGTTGTAATAAAAAGTTGTTTGATATTCATGACTCAATGAATTATGTTATGAAAACTTTAAACGCGTTTTTCTCGAAAACTCATTTTTCAAACTGGTACAGAGCTTTTCTCGAAATCTACTGAACCGATTTTGAAATCCCAAAAATTTTTCGATTCTTTATTTAAAAAACTGGTGCCTAAACCTCTAAAAACTCATATTTCTACCGCCTGTGTTTTTATATGGAGGTAAATTGACCCAAAAACACGGCGTTTTTGCGAGTTTTTGAGAAAAATGTACATATAAAATAAAAAAACCTTTAAAAAAAATCGTTTTTGAGGTTTAGGCACAAGAATAAATCCTTATGAAGAGATTCCCGTTTGGAACTTGAATTTATGTATTACAGGTTGCCCGGAATCTAACGTACCAAAAAAAAGGTATCTTTTGGAAGACGCCACCTACAGCTATGAAATTGAACTAAATACACTCAAACATATTTTTTAAATTTTCTCTACGCAATGTGCTACAATGTCCAAAAATAGTTTTTACAATTTCTTTAATACTGTTCTTACAATAAAAGTTTTAAAACCTTCCTTTTTTGTCAATTCTAAACCAGAAAGTCCCCTTAAGTAAAATTTGATTATTCATAAAAGCAATAATTCCCCTCCTTTTCACAAATAATATATGGGCAAATTAAACGTCAGACATTCAACTTTATTTTAGTGTGCATTAAAATTTTGTTAAGAATAGTTTTAATGTATAAAAATATCATTAATCATTGTGAGGTAATTTTAACATGAAACTGTTGAAGACAAAGTTTTAACATTTTTATCATACACGGAAAGAAAAGGTCTAGAAGAGATATCCATAAAAATATTGTTGAGCAGAATATTGTTGTGTTATCCAATTCAATGGAAGAGACAACTTTCAGAATGGAAGCACATTCCATATTCAATGGATGAGGGAGCCATATTATATTGTTGAATCAAATATGGATGTGATATCCATAGGCATGGTTGGGCTTACAATTCATGCTATGGATTTTCACATATGGCTGTCTCATCCATATAAACTTTGGTTGGGAGATCCATAGTTAGTTCAAAATTTCGATACATGTTGCGCGCAATTCATTATCATGGCATCCATTTAAAAATGGTCGTCTCAATTTGTCCGTCGCGTCGGTTTCCTGTCACGTCTATATAATCGCGTTGTGAGTTTATTGTGTATAAATAGTGTTATAATTGTTCATTATTTATTATCGTTATTGTCTATTAGTTTTTATGTAAATTCATTTTCAAGAAATATGTGTAGAGTATATAAGGAATATTATATGCTCAAATATTGTAGTTGCGTGTATAGTGTAGTGGATAGCGTTAGTGTTTAGTATGTATTAGGTCTAGGGTTCGTGTCTCCCCCCCATCAGTTAATAATTTATTTCGTTAATATGCGGTTATTCAATAAGTGGTGTGTATTAATTAACAAAAATGTGTATAAAATATCTCAAGTGACATTGAATTTAATTAATTGAGTGATTCCAATTTTTTGTTTCCCATTCCCATTACTATGGATCACCCAACCATAGATCTTTTGCTGCTCCAACAATATACAGCCAGCCATAGAATATGGATGCAGCAACCTTAACTATGGATATCCCGTATTTTTCAATATAATATGGCTGTGATATCCATGTATCTAGATGTGTCAACTATTCCTTTTTCTTCGTGTATATAAAACGGAGGTCTAAAAATTTTTAAAAAGCACATAATGATAGAAAAAACATTGTACTTTCTGATACTATTTTTTTAAAAATTCTAAGAGTTTGAAAAAAAGCATAAAAATGTAGTTTTCTTATAGAAAACCTATTGGAGACATGCTAAAAAGGCTTCGGAGATGAAATTATTTGAGCTATTGCATAAATTCAGTAGAATAAAATTGTTTAATTTTTTCTTTTTAAGGATAAGTAAGTGCTAAATTTTTATTATGAAAATGGTTAACAATTATTAGCGAGTAGATTTTATAAAATTAGTCGAGAAATCAAAAATATCACCAAGTGTCACTTTCGGAAGAATCACCCATATATTTAAAAAAGAAATTGTGAATTTTCACTTTAAAAAATTAAAATTATTTGTCAAACGATATATTTCTTATCTGAAGTCACGAATTTTAGAATATGTTATATAACAGAGAAAGAAAAAAAATACATTTTCTTTAAGAATTTACTTCCAGTTTTTCACGATTTGGTATCGATTTAAAAAAATAATGAAATTAAATATTTTTTTAAAAGTAAAAGGAACTTTTAATATAAGCATTAGAAAATACATCCCGTGTAGAAATTTTCCTTATCTAAAGTTGAAGTTTGTAGGGTTCTGTTAAGGAATAATATGGGAAACTGGTTAGGTCCTTGCATTTGCAATGAAGCTCGAATCTTGTTAAAAATTTTGAAAGGGAAAATATATCGAGAGCCTTACTAGGACCCTACGATGTCCTTATATATTATACATTATATGTAGTTTTATAAATTGATGTTTTTCTTACAAAAGATATTAACATTAATAATTTATAAATAAATATTTTTTAGGACCTGTATATTTTTTATAAACGTCATTAAGTTATTTTCTGGATAAATGACCTTAAAGGAAACTTTAAATTTAATTATATATTTTTCGTAGAAAAACTATAGTTTTTATTATTAAAAATTAAAGCAAATTCTTGATTCTGTTTTATTTTCACAAATTGAAAACAAAGAAAATTACATGTCCTTGAATGTACTCCATATACAATATATATATATATTCAATACTTATACCTTGTCGAGTAGTCTTTTGCATTTTTGATGCGTATTCTTGGAATTCTTATACAATTTTTCTATTTTACATTTCACTTTCATTAATTTGTCACTCTCTCTTTTCTGACGATTTATTTTTTTAGTAAATTTCGAGCAAGCAGCACAAAGGACGAATTTTCGTCCTCTTTCATGTTTTTCTTTTTGTATAATAAAGCCAATACAGTTTTCAGATCTGAGAAAATAATATGAACAGAAATATTATTTACTTATTATTAGAGTAAAGTTGTGTCAATGATATAATATTTAAAAAATAACATTATTTTCATATTTAATAAATGAACAGCTGAAATTTTGAAAAAAATTGAAATATTCTGATTTCGTAGCGAAAAAAAGTAAAATAGTACCCTACTCTATGTATAAGAAAATACAAAAATACAATAATTTTTATACTACCTGCAAGTACCAGAACTTCCACATGGGAAAAACTTCTCAAGTTTTTCAAAAAGAGCAATTAAGTCTCCAACAGATTTAACATCCATATCTTTCTCTTTCACCTCATTTCCATAAACAAACACCTTAAATAACAATATATAAATTTTTAGTGTTACTAATATTAGAATTGCAGGCATCACAGTACCTTGTATCCTTAAAAAAGGTTAAAATGAGAATTATTTTCCTCAAAAAGGGGACAAAAAGTATACCAAACAACAAATTGAAATGTGTTAAAAATATTAACAATGTATTAATACTCTTTCTTACAGTTTTGGATTCTTTGGTAGAAAATAACTTTAATATTAAGAAATTTTTTAAATATATTTACAAACAATAAGGAAAATAGAATAATTTATTATATTTAACTGTTTTCGGTATATCTTTTTTATAAACTTTTCTATTATATCGGAATGTTATAGTTATTTAAGAAAGTTCATCCAAAGAAATGCAGTCTTTAAAAAAATAATAATCATTTATAATATTTAAAAACTTGAAATTTTATTATTAATACAATTTTCTGAAAGAGCAAATATTGATTTTGAAGAAAAAATATTTAAAACCTACAAAAATTTATTTGTTTCTACAATTAAGCATATAATTCAAATTTTTTATCATATCGCTACTATAGGTTTTTTAAAAAATGATTCGAATTTAACATAATAAGGTTTATTTTCTTCAGAAAATAATTTTGAAAATATGATTATTTTTTTTAAAAAATCAAAATTTTCTTTTAAACAAATAAGCATCTTTCAAAACGACGTGCTTGTTTAAAAATCTAGAACGGTAACGTTGTAGGGAATAATTTTTTGAAGGAAATAAGCCATATTACATTAAAATCGAATTATTTTTAAAAAGCGAAAAGTATAACTATTTAAAAAAATTGTAATAAAATTCAATTATTTTCAAAATTAATAACATTCTTCGCAGAAATTCAATTATTTTCAAAATATCGAAAAAAACTTGTCAACATTTCAATTATCTTTATAAATAAATAGCAAAATTCTTCTACAAAATTCAAAAATTTTCAAAAATTTTAATAAAATTCATGGGAAAATGTTAATTATTTTGAAAAATTTTTCTTGATTCAATGATTTTCAATATTCTTCTATTTAATAAAATTTCCCAAAAGAATTCAATTATTAAAAAATCTTTTTATAAAATTCTACACAAACATTCAATGATTTTCCAAAAAAATAAAAATTTCACAGGAAATATTTAAAATAGAATTTGCATAATTTCTTTCAAAAAAATCAAATGTTTAAAATTTGGCATTAAAATCTTAGCAGTAATTAAATTATTTTCATTAATTTTAAAATTTCTTTCAGGGATTCAGGAATAAAATTCCATTATTTTTAAAAATTTTAATAAAATTCATTGCAAAATTTCAGTTAATTTCAAAAAATTTTCTTCATTCAATAATTTGTATATCTATTATTTTAATAAAATTTGAAAAATAATTCAAGTGTTTAAAAAAAATTTTGACAAAATTCTACCCAAATGTTTCATTACTTTCTAAAATGATGAAAATTTTACTAGAATTCAATTGTTAAAAATAGAATTTTCATACATTTTTTCGAAAAAAATCAATTGTCTAAAACATTTTATAAAATTCTTCTCAATAATTCAATTATTTTCATGAATAATAATTCATTGGAGAATATCAATTATTTTTAATACAATTTTAATCGAATTCCTCGAAAAATGTAATTATTATTAAAAATGTTATTAAAATTCGACGAAAGAATTCAATTATTTAAAAATTTGATGATAAAATTCTTTATAAGAATCCAATTTTAAGAAATATTCAATTATTGAATAAATTATCTATGTTATTTGTATATAAATAATTGAATTCTCGTAGAATTATCTAAATAAATTTGATTTAAAAATTAATTTCAATTAAAGTTTTTGATAATAATTGATTTTTAAAGAAGTTACTAATAATTCGCATTTTTTAGAAATAATTGAATTTTGTAAAGGTTTTAAGTTAAAATCTTTGAAAATCTGAATTTTCCATAGATTTAATTAAAAGTTCTATATGAAATTAACCTTTTTCAAACAGCTTAATCGAAATTTTTTAAAATTATTTTAAGTTTTTATTTTTTAATGTATATTTAATTGAAGAATTTTCGAATAATTGAATTGTAAAGAAATGAACTTTAAAAATCTTTAAAAAAAAATTTATCAAAAATTATTAAAAATAATTGATTTAAAGAAGAATTTTAGTTAAAAATTGTAGAAAATAATTATTGAATTGAAATGATGAAAATAATTTTGAATAAGTTGCAGTAACAATATTCTTATAATATAAAGTAATAATTTTATCATTCGATCATTTTTAATTATTATAAATTATTGAATTTCGAGAGGTTTGAATTTTAAATGTTTGAAAATCTTGATTCCTATGGAAAAATAATAACAATTAAATAGTTATTTAAAAAGGAAGTATATATATAATTTAATATATATAATAATTTTACAATTAAAGAAATTCATAAATAAATGTAATATAACATTTTTTTGAGTACTTAATAATTTTTAGAGTGAATCAGAATATTCTTTAGGGTCAGGGAAAGAGTGAAGATTTTGTCTGGAAATCAAGGAAAAATAAGAGTCAATTTTTGTGACAACCCTGATTGAGTCTAAATTTTATGATTAAACTTTGAAATATACTAGCAACAAATCGCGCGGCTAACTTCTTACTACCTTTTTTAAATAAAATTATCAATTTTAAAAATAATAAAATTTGAAAATTTTCTAATTTAAATTTTTGTTGAAAATACTAAAAAAATTCAATTTTGTAGAATTTAAAAATAATTGCATGAATTCTTTTAAAAAAATAAAATTCTTTTTATTAAATTCAACTATGTTCAAATCTTGAAAAGAATTCTCGTAAAAATCCCAATTATCTTTATAAATAACAAAATTCTTCTCCAAAGTTCAATTATTTTCAGAAATTTTTCTAATTTTAATGATTTTCAATATCTACGATTTTAATAAAATATTTCCCAAAACGAAATCAATTATTTAAAAAAAATTTTAATTTGAAATTTTAGAAATTTACAATTTTAAATAAATGAATTAAATAATAAAAATTTCAGAGGAATTCTATTATTTACAAATTTTTTATAAATTTCTTCGCAATAATTCAATTATTTTCATAAAGAATAACATTTTTTTAACCAGGAATTCAATTATTTTCATAAATAATAAAATTCTATAGGTAGATATGTAGGTTTTCAATTATTTTCATAAATAATAAAAATCATCACAGAATTTCAATTATTTTTGGTACAATGTTAATGGAATTTCTCGAAAAATGTAATTATTATTAAAATTTTTATTAAAATTAATTTTCAAAGATTTTAATGAAATAATTTTTAACAATTCGATTTTTTTTCAAAATAATTTGAATTAAATTCTTCGTAGAATTAAATTAATTTCAAAATTCAATTATTTTTAATATCTACTATTTCAATAAAAATTCACAAAAGAATTCAATTATTTAAAAAGAAATATATTATTAAAATTCATCGCAAGAATTAAAGTATTTTTCATAAATAATAAAATTCTTCTCAGGTATTCAATTATTTTCAATACAATTATTAAAAAATTCGATTACTTTGAAAACTTGTAATTAAAATGATTAAAGAAAGTCCATTATTTTAAAGGAACTCAAAGAAATTCTTCAAAAGAATTTAATTAAGATTATGTAAAATTTTAATAAAATTCTTCCTAAATTCAATTATTTTCATAAACAATAAAATTCTTCGAAGAAATTCAATTAGTATAAAATTTTTTGATAAAATTCTTTGCAAGAATTCAATGATTTGCCATTTTTTTTGCAATAATTCACTTGTTTTCATAAACAATAAAATTCTTTGAAGAAATTCAATTATTATCAAATTTTTTGACAAAATTCTTTGCAAGAATTCAATCATTTGCAAATGTTTTATAAATTTTTTTCGCAATAATTCAATTATTTAACAAAAAAATTAATAAAAGTTCTTCATAAGAATTCAATTATTTTTGAAAATTTTAATAAAATTCGTTGCAAAAATTCAATTATTTTAAAAAAGTTTGATAAAATTCTTCGAATCAATTCAATTATTTTAAAAAATTTTGAAAAAATTCTCGGCAAAAATTTCAATTATTTTCAAAATTTTTCCTCAATTCAATGATTTTTATATCTACTAAAATTTTTCAAAAGAATTCAATTATAAAAAATTTTATTGAAATTCTGCGCAAACATTTAATTATATTCATAAAATAATTAAAATTTCACAAGGAATTCAATTATTTTCATAAATAATAAAAATTTTTAAGGAATTCAATTATTATTTTCATAAAAAATAATTTAAAATTCTAGAAAATAATAATTTAATTAAAATGATGAAAATAATTTTGATGAAGTTACAGTAACAATATTCTTATAATGTAAAATAATGATTTTATCTCTCGGTCATCTTTAATTTATTAGAAAACATGAAGAAATCGATCACTCCGAGTCTTCAACTCGGAGCAATTGATATATCTTCATGTTTTATAAACAATACTTTTATAAGTTGTTTAATTTAAAAAAGGTTTGAATTTTGAATTTTTCAATGTCTTAGATTCCTGTGGAAAATCCTGTTGCAAATATAAGATTAAAATATAAATTGTGCAAATATTTTTCTTCTTTTTCTTTAATTTCTAAAACAAAATAATAATTTTCTTAAAAAAATTGTGATTCAAAAAGAAAATAATGGAAAATAAATAAATTTTCTATTTCTTAATTACAGTTGTTTAATAATTTTCTAATTTTTTTTAGAAGTAAAGAACAAAAATAATTTCAGTTTGACAAAACATAATATTTAACAAAATTTTAGTCTTTTAATGAAAAGAAGTAAAAAAATTCTGATGATTTCTATTTTCTATCTAAAGTTAACAAAAAACAAAAGTATAAACAAAAGACAACTTCAGAGTGTGAGTTAATTTCAAAAAAACGAAATTTTTTTTATTTTTGATTAGAAAAGGAGGTAAAAAGGGAAAAAATCACCCAAAAAAGGGGAAAAAGTGACAAAATTGAAAAAGGGGACCAACTGTGATGCCTGTAAATGTCTTTCAATTGAAAAACATTTTAATTTTCAACATAAGAAAAAATGTGAAATTACTTTTATTTTCATATCAGGATATAGTATAATGCGTCTGTCCGTATGTGGATTGTTATTAATCCAGTTTATCCAGACAATAAATTCAGATGTACGAACAACAGACCAATTTTTCGACGGCAAAGCAATAATTTGCTTCTCTTTGATAATTTGTGAATAGTCAAGTTTGTCCTTAACATTACTTAAAAGTAGTGAAGGCACAGCTCCTACTTTTAAACTTATCTTTTCTTTTTGCATTTCATGTTGGACACCATTTATTATAGTTTTGAACGTTTTGTCCATATCATTTTCATTGAAATGTAATTCACAAACGACATGACTTTTCAATAATTCTTTATTATCTTTTGTGGGAACTATTTGTCTCCACAATTCCAAAGTACTTTCCTAATGCATGACAATAAAATGACGTTAATTAAAAGTTACATTTTAATAGTGAAATATTAATAGGTATTTAATTTAAATGTTTAAAAAACATACCCTGGGTTTGAAAAGAGACAATTTTCGTCCTTTTCTGATTAAAGAAGCTGAAATACACTTGTCAACTATACAACTGGAAGGCATCCTTCAATAAACTTTCACGAAAATTATAAACAAAATATTTCATATATCTGAATTGTTTTGAAATTTGAACTAAATTTTTGAATATAAACAAATATACATCGATTATAGGTTATCTCATGCCGTCTTATTTACAACCTAGTATTGAAGTTAAGGCCAACGCAGAATAAATACGGAAACCGGAATAGGGCATTGGAAAGAAAAGGACACAGACAGCTTCTGTCCCTATCCGTATTCACTCTGCTTCAGTGTTGGGAAGTGACGCGTCACTCGAGGTTTTTGACGTTATTTTTTTTGAAATACTTGGTTTTTTACATATGTAAAATACGTATTTTACCCCCCTCTCCCAAAAAATACATTGTGTTTAAAACTTTTGAAGTAAAATACGAGGTATTTTACTGTAAAAATCCATGTAATTTACCTGAGGTATTTTACGCACCCAACCCTGCTCTGCTTTGGACTTAAAGTTGTGTCCACAATAGCACTCTGTTTTACGATTCCATTGCAGACGCGCCATAAGGTTACACATTATTATAAGCGACTTCTATTTCTATATGATGTGTATTTCTATGTTTATACATAAAATCTTAAATCTAGCTAGTCATCAAGTCATTCACTGAGCCCTTAATTGTTTTGTGCTTTGTTATTGACAAACAAATAGAAATTTATAATAATTTAATAAATATGGGAAGTGTGCGTATCATTAATGATGACAGTCAATTCCAAGGAGAATTGCGAAGTGCAGGAGCAAAACTGGTTGTTGTTGACTTTACAGCAGCATGGTAAGTGTCAAAAAATTGACAGGTTATATTAATTTAACAAGATTTCATTTAAGTTTCTTTAATTAATAAAACAGTTAAATTATTAATTGGAATAAGTTTTTTTTAATTACATATCCAAAATAAGGAACATATAATTTTTTTAATTAAAACAAAAATAATGAATGTTGTAGATATAATTAAACTTATTTTGAAATTTTTGTGAAATATAAATGGGTCATTCCACGCCAAATCGGAAATTATTTTGCTTTTGCATCTCAAATTTTTTTTAAACATTTTCGTTTAGTACTCTTTGAAATGAGCTACCTTGATTTTTTTCAAATTTTTTCATAAAGCGGTTCAGGAGATACAGATTTTTGAAAAATGACGTTTTTTACGTAAATAGTTTTTAATAAAAATATTTTTAAAAATTTGTAAAATAATTTACGATAAGATTTAAAAAATTTTTAAATAAAATTTCATTTTTAACAATGTATGTATCTATCAATTTTTTTTCAACATTTTTTGTAAGAAACTAGCACTAAATTAACAATTTTTAAGCCTTGTCCGATCGTAGGCAAACGATGGGATCTATTTATTTAAAATTTTTTAATTTTTATACAGTGAAAAAGGTAGGCCTAACTTGTCATTTAACCAAATCACAATTTTACACAGAAAAAAAGTTAAGTTTGGGGAGACTCAGTCTGAAAACACATTTGCTGTGAAAAATTTGTGTGATTCTGTTCAAATGACAAGTTAGGCCTACCGTTTTCACTGTGTATATAAAAATTAAAATTTTATAAATAGATCCCATCGTTTGCCCACAATCCGACAAGGCTTAAAAATTGTTAATTTTGTGCTAGTTTCTTACAAAAAATTTTGAAAAAAATTGATAGATACATACATTGTTAAAAATAAAATTTTATTTTAAAAATTTTAAAATCTTATCGTAAATTATTTAAAAAATTTTTTAAAATATTTTTATTAAAAACTACGCGTGAAAACATTTTACATTGTAACGCGAAATTCAAACAACAAGAACTCATGCAAAAATAAATATTTAAAAAAAATCGAAATTGAAAAACCTACGTCGATGGAGCAATTCTAATTACGGAATCGTGTTCAGCGTCAAAAAACCTATATAAGTATCACCCTATACGGTCTCAGAAATAAATGTCAAGTCGCGACATTGGTGAACTTGACAGTGACGAATCCCGCCGTTTTAGTTTCTAATCCCACCACAGTGAAGAAGGCGTCGCATGACATTAGTAATTTGCAGTGCCGTATATCCGAAAATTAAACAAGTAGAAAGTGAAGATACAGATTAATTATTTGTTACAAATTGAAAAATAATTATTACATAATATTGAAACATTATGGGGTCAATCCATTTTACTTCAACTAAAGTGGTCTCCGACTAATTTAAAAAAATTGTAATATTCTGCAGTAATGATTTTGATGTTAGTAAAGTCACAAAATGAAAAGATTTCTTCAAAAAAAATTTACATCTTTTGTAAAATATGAATTTAAAGTGTAAGAGATGCTAAAAACTATCAGTTTCTGACGGTAGAAAATAATTTAAAAGAAATAAAATTTAGTACAAAAAAATAACAAAAATTATCAAGAATTTGTGATGAACTTTCAGTTTTCTTCCATTTTCTCGTCAAATAAAAATTTGTGTAAAATAAAATGCCACCTTGCCCATTTTCACAATTTTTAAATATGACTAATTTCTTTGGAGAAAATTGGAAACATATGGGACATTCGGGAATAAATAAATTTTTACTAATTAAACGTACACTATAACTTTCACTTTGGTTCCAGGTTCTTTTGAAAAACAGGTTTTTTTACTGTTATATAAATTATTTAAAAATATCTTACATAAGAATTCCATAAACAAACTTAAAAAAATAAAAAGTAAAATCTATAAAAAATATAATATTCTATAATATTCTAAAATGTATACCTCAGTTTTTGTGTTGCTGGTCAAATCATCTTGGTTTTAAAAAATGAACATTAAAAAACTTATTATTATTTTACGTGAATATTCAATTTGTCGCTCGTAAATTTTGGCGGTTGGTCAAATCAATCGTTTTCCGATTAAGGGGACATTCCAGTTCAAAATGTCAAAAAAATCGATTTTTTTTTGTTTTTATTTTCGGATTTCTTATAGTGTCAAGAATACTCTCCTAAAATATTATTGAAAAATTCGAAGTAAAATAAAAGTTATACATCCTTATTCTTCGCCATGTCAAAGATGTTTTTGTATGCGGATAAGCAATCGAATGATTTAAATGTTTTCTCATTTGCATTTTTTAAAAAAGACAAACAAAAATGTATTTGGTGTTGCTGACCACAAATTAGATATCAAATTTTCAAAATTCAAAATGGCGGATCCAATATGGCGGAAAAGAAAATTTTTTTATTTTAATTTTTTTTTCGTTTAATTTTTTTTTCGTCTACCATATTGCATCCGCCATTTCGAATTTTAAAAATCTGATTCCATATTCGTAATTAGCGACCTCAAAAAACCCCGAGTAACGATTTTCAAGCAAATCCGATGATTTTTTTAAAAAAATTTCGAAACTTATGAATAAAAACTTTAAATGCATTTTTCTCAAAATGTCTTTTTTTGATCTGGTAAGAGTGATATCTCGAGTTCTTCTGAAGCGATTTTAAAAAATCAAACGGCTTTTGATTCAGCGTCATTATGCCTATAAGTGGAACCTCAAAAACTGGAAAATTTCAAACTCCCTCTTTTTTTATAAGAGAAATTCTGAATAAAAACACCTTTTTTTGCATATTTTGGGAAAAAAGTACTCTAAAAAAAGGGGGGGGGAAGAAAATTCCACTTTTTTGAGGTTCCACACCTGAAGAAATATCTAACGAAGAGAATGTCACTTCGTTTTTGGTTTTATCTGTTTTAGAAAGTTTGGAATCGATCTTACCACCGAAAATGGTCATTTTCGAAAATGGCGTATATCGCCGCCATTTTGAAATAAAAATGAAAAAAATTTTTTTTACAAATTCTTAAATAAATTATTTATTACATGTAAAAGAAATTTTTTAAATAAATGTCATAGTTATTTTAATAATATATACTAAAAAAGCCTTCTTTTTGCCTGTTTTGAACTGGAATGTCCTCTTAATCTGAAGTTTAGGTCCATGAAGTTTTAAACGTTTAAAAAACGAAAATTTTTAATTCTACCAGACCAATTTTTTTTTCACCCAGACTTGAAGGAAATGTATCAGGGAAGTCAGATGTATCATTGTTAACGTGTTTCGACTTCCGGAAGTCAGCCATCTTGGATTTATTATATTCCGTATATATTTCTTACATAGAGGTATACTAAATCTGCGTTTATACACCCGCCACCAATTTTTTTTCATCCAAATTTTGAGAGAATGTTTAGAAACACTCACTGAACAATTACGAACAAATTTCGGCTTCCGCAAGTCCGCCATCTTGGAATTAATAACCTCAAAAAATACTAAATCTCCGTTTAAACACCCGCCACCAATTTTTTGTTCAGCGAAACTTTGAGAGAATGTTTAGAAACACTCTCTGAACAATTACAAACAAATTTCGGCTTCCGCAAATCCGCCATCTTGGAATTAATAACCTCAAAAAATACTAAATCTGCGTTTATACACCCGCCACCAATTTTTTTTTTAGCCAAATTTTGAGAGAATGTTTAGAAACACTCACTGAACAATTACGAACAAATTTCAGCTTCCGCAAGTCCGCCATCTTGGAATTAATAACCTCAAAAAATACTAAATCTGCGTTTATACACCCGCCACCAATTTTTTTTTCAGCCAAATTTTGAGAGAATGTTTAGAAACACTCACTGAACAATTACGAACAAATTTCGGCTTCCGCAAGTCCGCCATCTTGGAATTAATAACCTCAAAAAATACTAAATCTGCGTTTACACACCCGCCACCAATTTTTTTTTCAGCCAAATTTTGAGAGAATGTTTAGAAACACTCTCTGAACAATTACAAACAAATTTCGGCTTCCGCAAGTCCGCCATCTTGGAATTAATAACCTCAAAAAATACTAAATCTGCGTTTACACACCCGCCACCAATTTTTTTTTCAGCCAAATTTTGAGAGAATGTTTAGAAACACTCTCTGAACAATTACAAACAAATTTCGGCTTCCGCAAGTCCGCCATCTTGGAATTAATAACCTCAAAAAATACTAAATCTGCGTTTATACACCCGCCACCAATTTTTTTTTCAGCCAAATTTTGAGAGAATGTTTAGAAACACTCTCTGAACAATTACAAACAAATTTCGGCTTCCGCAAGTCCGCCATCTTGGAATTAATAACCTCAAAAAATACTAAATCTGCGTTTATACACCCGCCACCAATTTTTTTTTCAGCCAAATTTTGAGAGAATATTTAGAAA